AGAACTCCCCCCAACAGAACTAAACCTGCTGCACATCTCAGACGCCTGTAACGTCACAGATTTGTATCTATTGCGAGCAGAACATTTGATTTATAACAAGGCTGCTCGTCTTTAAGGATGACACAGGTTATGCTGACGATACAATATTCTCCCCTCAGAGCTTTTAGAAACCAGTCAGGCTTTACTGTGCAGGACGTCGTATTGGACCTGTAAGACTTTCTACATCAAATGTTACGATATTTGTGCAAGAGTATCTACAAATTTAGCCCTAAACAAGTCAGGTTTATAAAGACAAGCTCAAAAACTATGTACAGTACAACACTGGAGTAGACTTTAGCACATCCATAGAATTATATTTATGGCACAGGTGAACAATCTGTTATTGTTATAATGTGCAGTAGCTCACACACAGTGCTTTGACACTGGAAGACACAGATTTTCCAAAAACTTCAACAAACACACACGAGTCACAAACAAGCCACGCAAAATAAAGTTCACCTTGCATGTTTTAGTTAGGAACAAAAAGGCTTTCAGGCGGTGTTGGCATAGAAACTTTGTTGATGAAAAGTTTCTGTTGTTGGCAAAAACAGGTTAGTTTTTACTAATCTGAAGAAACCCTGAAGGAACTCGTTAAATATGTTAAATTATAATTACAGAGGCTGTCTGGAGAGGTGTCGCTGAAGGACATTCTACTCTGAAGCATTTCTACAGATCAGTCAGAGGATTAGGAATAAAAACTAAATATTAAGAGAAGCTGCATCTCTCAGAAGTAAAGATGGGCAGAGGTTCACTAGTCTGTGACAAATACTGGAACAATGTCAATATAAAGTTCCTCATTGGAAACTGGGAAAGTCTTCCCATAATCAACAGTTCAGATCGTCATTAAAAAATTTCATGAATCTGGATAAATCTCTGAGGTCAAAGGTCAAACATGGATGTCCCTGCATTAAGAACAGCTCTGATTCTGTGGAACACTTCCACTAATTATTTTTATTGACTATAAACACAGTTTGCTGTGCCAACCATGAATGCAGGTTAAAGCTCAATCACACAAAGCAGAAGCCATGCGTGAACACATCCAGACACTCTGCTGTCTTCTCTGAGCCAAAGCTTGGTTTAAATGGACTGAGGCCAACAAGAAAAGTGTTCTGTGGTCACATGAAAGGAAATCTGAAAATATTTTAAGAAACTATGCAAGCCACATCCTCCATACTAAACAGCAGATGGACCTCTAAACCTGGTATCAGCACAGTTCAAAAGCCTGCCTGCCTCTCTGATGGTATAGTGGTACATTAGGGCCTGTGGGTTCGTCGGCTAGTCGAACCTCTGATTCAGGAGGAGCAGTGTAGTTTTTGTTCTGGTCATGGAACACTACACCCTCAGCAGGGTCCTGGAGGGTGTGTGGGAGTTTGCCCAACCAGTCTACATGTGCTTTGTGAACTTGGAGAAGGCGTTCAACCACATCCCTTAGGAAACCCAGTTGGGGGGGGGGGGGTACTCTGGGAGTATGGGGTACCAGGCCCTTTTATACAGGCTGTTAGGTCCCTGTATGACCAGTGTCAGAGCTTGGTTCGCATTGCCAGCAGTAAAGGCTCCCACAGACTCGTGCGGTCCTCAGTCCACGTGGAAACTGTGCGCACTATCCGCAGACGGTTGAGACTTCATAATCGAGCGTCCACCCTGAGTGGCTGCAGCCCAGCTCCGCAGGCAATGGGCGTTTACCTTTGGGACAAACTGAGTTTGCCGATTGGTAATTTGCTGACACGCCTACTGGAATGATTGACGGGTCACAAAAAAAAAAAAAAAAGAGAGAGCTGGCAGCCCCAGCTGCAGCAGTGTTCTGTGTTTATATGTTGTTAATAAAAAGTTCTAAATTTAAAAAAAAAAACGGAGCGCTAGCCCTGCAGCCCACACAGACTGGCCCAACAGGAAATCTCCAGACCCTCCCGCAGCCACGCTGGACCTGATTTTAATTCTCCCATGACAAATTCCTTCATTTCTCACAATTTCAGTCATGGCGTCACGGGAGGAGGAGGAAGAGATCACTTGCATCTTGGAAAAAACAAAAAAAAGGCCATTAAACCAGACCAGGGATGAAGAAGGGAAATTTAATACATTGGTGTCGCATACAAAACAATCCATCGCCGGGCAGTTTATTGTGCGACACAGTGTACGCGTACAGGGTTGTAAAAATTGATCTTTGAGCGGACATGCCTTGCAGGCATCTGCTTCGAGTTTAATCCGGTATGCGTGGACCTCCATGGACTGAGGTCTGCTCAAGTATGTGCAAGTCTTAAGTCGGGCTCGTTCCTGGTGAGAGTTGGATTCTGCTAAGGTTGCCCTTTGTCACCGATTCTGTTCATAACTTTTATGGACAGAATTTCTAGGTGCAGTCAAGGTGTTGAGGGGATCAGTTTTGGTGGCCTTAGGATCGCTTCTCTGCTTTTTGCAGATGATGTGGTCCTATTGGCTTCATCAAGTCGTGATCTACAACTTTCAATGGAGCAGTTCGCAGCTGAGTGTGACACGGCCGGGACGAGGATCAGTTACTCCAAATCCGAGGCCATGGTCTTGAGCCGGAAAAGGGTAGAGTGCCCTCTCCGGGTCAGGGAGGAGGTCCTGCCCCAAGTGGAGGAGTATAAGTATCTTGGAGCATTGTTCACAAATGAGGGAAAAATGGAGCGAGAGATGGATAGGCAGATAGGTGCAGTGTCGGCAGTGAGGCGGGCACTGTACCGGTCTGTCGTGGTGAAGCGAGACCTGAGTCAAAAGGCGAAGCTCTCAATTTACCGGTCGACCTACGTTCCTACCTTCATCTATGGTCATGAGCTTTGGGTTGTGACCAAAAGAACGAGGCCACGGATACAAGCGGCCAAAATTAGTTTTCTCTGCGGGGTGTCTGGGCTTTCCCTTAAAGATAGGGTGAGAAGCTCGGTCATCCGGGAGGGACTCAGAGTAGAGCTGCTGCTTCTCCGTCAAGAGGAGCCAGTTGAGGTGGCTCAGGCATCTGGTTAGGATGCCTTCTGGACACCTCCCCGGTGAGGTGTTCTGGACATGTCCCACCAGAAGGAGACCCAGAGAAAGACCCAGGACACGTTTAAGGGACTATGTTTCTCAGTTGGCCTGGGAACGCCTTGGGATTCCCTTGGAAGAGCTGGCCCAAGTGGCTGGGGAGAGGGAAGTCTGGGCCTCCCTACTTAGGGTGTTACCCTCGCGACCCGACCCCGGATAACCGATATGGATGGATAGATAGGGCATGGGCAGCTTACACAGCTGAAAGGCATGGTTGATACAGAAACACATCTAAAGGTTTTAGAACATTTTCTCAACTCCAGGTGACATTTGTTTCAGGGAAGACTACTGTACATATTCCATCAACCTAGAAGACCTCCCAACATCTGGAAATGTCATAAAATAAAACATTTGTCTAAGAATACATGCTGAACAGCTAGAAGCCTACATCAGGCCAGAATGGGACAACATCCCCCTCCCAAAACTCTAGCAGCTGTTCTCCTGTTTCTAGACTGAGGAGAGCTGAGACCAGATACCAGATCAGAGACCGGAGACCTAAGACCAGAGACCTGATACCAGAGACCAGGGACCAGGCGACCAGAAACCTGAGACCAGATACCAGATCAGAGACCTAAGACCAGATACCTGAAACCAGAAGACCAGAGACCAAGAGACCTGAGACAAGGAGACCTGAGACCAGAGAGCAGAAACCAGGAGACCAGAGATGATGGACCAGGAGACTAGAGACCAAGAGACCATGAGACCAAGAGACCAGAGAGCAGGAGACCAGAGAGCAGGAGACCAAGAGACAACAGACCAGGAGACCAGAGACCATAAACCTGAGATCAGAGACCAGAAGACCAGAGACCTGAGACCAGGAGACCAGAGATGATAGACCAGAGACCAGGGACCTGAGACGAAGAGACCAGAGACAAAAAGACCATGGACCTGAGACCAGGACACTGGAGACCAGAGACCAGGAGACTAGATACCAGAGACCAGGAGACTAGAGACCTGAGACCAGAGACCAGCGATTTACAGACAGTTTTAGCAGACAGGGTTGATTCAGAGCTAAACATGATCTGTTCCAACTTGTTGCTGCCATGAACATAAAAACTCAACAAGTTTAACCTTTGAATATTTTACTGTGTGGATCAAATATGAGTTTATGTGATTTATAAGTCATTGAATTCAGTTTTGTTTCTATCATTTCACACAATGTCTCTATTCTATCAGCATTAGGGGAGAATTTAAAACATAAATAAATAAACATATTTTAACTATGAGCTTCACCAATGAGGAACTATTTGAAGCATCAAACTGTGATTTAAATTCATGTTGAGTTTAACTTCATTAATTTAAAGATACTGTACATTTGTACATTTGGGATTTGTCCTGAACTCCTTTACCTAAAATATATTTAAATGCAAAGTATTTCTAATGACTGGTAAACTCCCAGCAATAAATAAATAAATTACACAAACGATTCAGATTAAATGTAGATGTTTGAACATCGGTGTTTTTAGTCTGTTTTGCCAACAGGAAGTTGCCACTGAAAGCCATTTTATTCTTCAACGTCTCTGAAACATCAAGTTCATAAAATGTTGAGTTTTTTGCCCTCGTGTACAATTTTCGGAGGAAGTTTTTACTGAAACTGTAGGAGAGAATAAAACAAAGTAAATGTGCAGTTCTGCCTGTTATCACCCACAAACTGAAGGTTTAAAGTCAGTTAACTCCAGATGAAGACAAATATTGCTTAGTCACGTTTCTTTGTCGTACTTTGACACGACAAATGAACTCTACCTGATCAGCCTTTCACGTCTTCATTTAATCTGTAGCATCTTCACAAAGAAGAACTCGCTGGAGGAGAAACAGCCGTGAACACGTCAGTGATGGATCAGAACCTACTCAGCTGCTCCCGAGGAGGAAACGGTTCTGATGGTTTTAGAAATATATCAGGAACAAGTTTGACTGAGCTTAGAAGTTTCTAAAGTCTTTGTTTTGTAATTAATTTATAATAAGCCCTTAATCTGAACTGGTTCTAATCCCGTTTGAATCGTTTTCCTGTCCTGCAACTTGACTCGTGTAGTTTCACTGGTAAATGTGAGGCCTAGAATTAACGGATTGATTCATTCATCCCTCTGTTCTGCACAGACGACCACCTACAGTCCAACCATGTTAGAGCCCAGCTCCGGGTAGCCCTTCAGTCCTGATCCGGTCCGGTCCTGGCACAGAATGGCATTATGGGAAGACACTTTGACCCTGCTACTTGACAAAGTGGGGCTCTCCTCCTCCTCCTCCTCCCTCCTGTGATGCTCCGGTGTGGGAGCGGGGGCTCTGATCCCACTGCTCCCAGCCCCTAAGCTACCTCCGGCTCGTTGTGTAGACGGTGGACCCCAGAGGAAGGCGTGGGGGGGTCTGTAGTGCTGGCGAGCGAAGCGGAGCAGGTGTCGGCGCGTGGCTGGGAGACGGACGGTGTAGACGTAGTACTCCAGGACGCTGTGCTGCATGTGGGCCAGAGTCCCATGGCACAGAGCCTCCTCTAGGAAGAGGCGGATGAGCGGAGCCTTGAAGGACTCAAAGCCGAGCTCCCCCAGGGACTTCAGGATCCGAGTGATCCGCAGGTAGTTGTGCTGGGATCTGAACAAAGGGAGAACAGCTGTTAGGAGCAGAGGACAAGCTTATCGATACCTTCCATGTCACAGTGCACGATCTTTGTCGTGACTGCCAGAGCTCGAGATGTTTCAGCTCAGGAGGACTTCAGCTACTATCACATCAAACTTCAGCTCCACATCTGTACATCTGACCAGGTTGTACCAGAAACAGGTTAGCTGGGACTGGTTAGCTGTGGTGACCTTGAGGCTCCAGGTCAGCCCCGGGTCAGGCCCGGCTCCTGATAAAGGACTAACAATAATCTGAACTGTCCCAGACCAACTGCAGGACTCTGAGTCTGGAGGATCGTGCTTTAGTCTGGTAGAGATCTGAAGTAGAAACTAGTGTCAGTCTGGATCTGGACCCATGTTTTTAACTTGTTCCACATTTACAGTCATTTGTTTTAAAATATTAATGTTTGGTAAGTGTAAATTCATTTTGGAGGATTTAAATTATATTCGTCTTAGTGGCCGCTGTGGTGTAGAGGTAGTGCAGCTGACTTGGGACCAGAAAGTCGCAGGTTCAACTCCCCGCCATGCCCACATGTCGTGGTGTCTCTGAGCAAGACACCTAATCCCTAAATGGCCCCCAGGCACTTACACAGCTGCCCACTGCTCCACCTGGGTGTAGCTCAGATGTGATGGGTTAAATGCAGAGAACTAATGTCATCATCGTATAGAAACAGACAGTGATGACAACATAAAGCACTTTATTCTTCTTACATGTTCAGAGACAGAAGTGATATTTCAAATCAGCATGACTACCAAACTAATGATCTGAGCATCCGACACATGCAGATATGAGGAGCACAGAAAATACCAATTCAATTCAATTCAATTTATACAGCACCAAGTCACAACAGAAGTCACCTCAAGGCCCTGAACAGAAATATTCATATTTAAAACAATAATTTAACATTATTTATCTGAGGAGCAGACTACTTTGAGTTTAACTCCATCACAGAACTCTCATCTTGAGCAAGCATGAAGGTGACAGTGGAAAGGAAAAACTCCCTCATGAGGAAGAAACCTTTAGCAGAACCAGGCTCAGGACAAGTGGTCATCTGTTTTGACCGGCTGGGTTTGAGAGGAACAGATACACAATGGCAGGTCAAGAATCACATGTTAAGATAGAAATAGAATCAAATGAAAAATATTCAATTTTAACAATTCATTTTAAGTAATGAGGTCAATTTGTTCTAAAGTAGTCTAAGGCTATAGCAACATAACAAGCCAACCCTGACTATATGATTTAGCAAAAAGGAAAGTCTTAAGCCCAGTCTTAAAACTGGACAATGCCTCACGGACAGAATCTGGAAGTTGTTTCCACAAGAGAGGAGCCTGAGAACTGAAAGATCTTCCTCCCATTCTGCTCTTGGAAACTCTAGATACCACGAGTAAACCTGCAGTCTGAGAGCGAAGTGCTCTGTTGGGAAAATATGGAACAATAAGATCTGTAATATAAGATGGAGCTAGGTTGTTGAGAGCTTTGTAGGTTAGAAGTAAGATTTTGAATTCAGTTCTGGATTCGAGCTCTGATGAGCAGCAGTGCATGTGTTTAATTCTGACCATGTGTGTGTGTGTGAGTGTGTGTGTGGTCTTTCTTACTCATTAAGGTGCTGGAAGCGCTCCTGCCAGTTGGCGGCCCGAGCAACATTTCCATTTTTATCCACCAGTTTGACTCCATAAAAGTCCAACATCAAGGCGTAGGCTGCCACGAATCTCCGCTTCGCTTCCCGAGTGCTTTGGAATTCCTGACGGGATTCAACACAGAAGATTAGAGGAAAATACAACACACGCGGACCCTCAGTGACCGAAATTAATATTACATGTGGTCAAATAAATGGCATTAACCAACTAACTTTATTTATTACAGCTGAGGCACATTTTGTTTCTTTATTGCAGTAACAAATAAATAATTCTCTGCGTGAGCTAACAGAGCCATCTCACAGAAGAAATTATGACTCGAAGTAACAAGAAAAGGCGCAGGCTGCATGTTCCACAGAGAACGACACGCCTCGTGCACGTTAGAGCGACACTTTCAGGTGAAAACGTGAAAAGAGCTGAACGTGACGTACTTTGATCTCGTCCTGAGTCAGTTCATGTGCGTAGAAGTTCAGCCCTTGTTCTCTCAATGGGAACAACCTACAAATTCAGGATTAAACAAGATTAAATTCAACAATAAATACATTTTAGATATAAAAACTGAAAAAATAAACTTTGGATTAAGAAAACTTTAGAATAAATAAAATTCAGATTAATTCAAACTCCAGAATAAATAAATGTTTGAAAGAATAAAGATCAGATTAAATAATTTCTAAAGAAATAAAACTTCAGATTAAACAAACTCTGTACAAATAGATTTGAAATTAATTAATAAAAAACAATCTCCTGATTTAAATTAAATTCCAGATTCAATACGGTCAATGACAAAAAAACAATAAACTAAGTAAAATTTTGGATAAAAAAAAATCTAGAATAAATTAATTCAAAATTAAGAAAAACTCCTGATTAAATAAAATTATAAAATAAATCAACTCGGATCTATTAAATTTAAAATGTAATAAAATCAAAAATTACGAATTTTAAAATAATCTGCAAAATAAACAAACACCAGTTTAATCTTATGGTTACAAAAAAACATAATTAAAAAACTCCAAATAAAATAAAATCAATAAAAAAAATACATTAAATAAAGTCCAGATAAAATAAACTCCACATTAAGAGATTAAAACAACTTTAACAGATTAAAACAGCTCTAGACTGAACTAAACTCCAGATAAAACTAAATTCAGATTACAGAAATTTGAGCTTAAAGACTCTCCAGAATACATAAACTAGATCTTCAGATGAATAAAACCTGATTAAATCAATTTCTGAATAAATAAAACTACAAAGTACAGTGATCCCGCACCTATCGTGGGGGTTACATTAAAGAGACCCCCGCAGTAGGTGAAAATCCACGAAGCAGTGGCGTTATATTTATTTTATTATTTATTAGGTTTAAGGCTTTATAAACCCTTCCCACACTCCTACAAACCTTTTCCACTCTCTTATAAAAAGTTGTATGCCCTTAAACACTTTGGTGAAGAAGATAATGAATGTACAGTCCTGCAGCATGTTCAGTTCACACAATATAAAAAACTGGGTTTAAAAACCGGAGATACAGTGAAGCTGCAAGATGTGAAGTATAATATAACGACTGTAGTTTTCATTCCAGATTAAATAAAACTCTTACAGAACATTGCAAAAGTAATTTGCTTTAAAAGTCAAGCTGACACCTGAAGTGTCCCTTTTCTGCTTGATGATCACACTGCAGAGTGTAGACTGCAGACGGTACCCTCCCCCCACCCCATGCAGTGACTCATCCACACCACCTGGAGACCACCTGGTATCTTTGTGGATGGCTCCTTATCTGACAGCACAGTTTAGATGACTGTATGAGTGCATGTATCTTTAAGGGTAAAAAAACCTGATGGGCTGCTTGTCTCTAATGCCCCTTTTCCATTAGTACCGGTACGGGCCGACTCGACCCTACTTGGCCCGGTTCTGAGGCTTTTCCATTAGTACCGGTACTTAGCACCTGTTACTATTTTCAGTACCCTTGGCTCTGTGGTTCTAACCGGTACGAAGAGGTACAAAAACGTGACGTCAGAACACTGTCGGTCACTGATTGGTCGGGGGCGGAGTCGGGGGCGGAGTCACTGGATCCTTCAGAAACTTTCAAAACAATAATCCGCCATTTGCAATTTCTCGGACTGGAGCAGCGGCTGGACTTATTTTAAAGATTTTAAAAACAATACTGACAACATCTTGGTCTAATGTTGATGTGCTGGCATTTTTTGTGCTTGGTGGCCGACAACATAATTCAGAGCAAGCTGGATGGAGCTCTGCTGGTGCACCCCGATCATCCCTCCGGAGCCTCGGAGCGCCAGACCGGGCAGGGCGTTATCTCCCCGGCTCCAAGTTCAGCTGGTCACCGCAAAAGATCCTTCGATGTGCCGACTCGGAGGCTCAGGTTCCGGATACCAGCCTTGTGTGCTCAGAGCTCCGCTGGTCACTGCGAAGCTGGAGATGGGGACTCGCAGATGGACGTTGCCAGACCCCGGCCGCGCGTAATCATGAAGGCTGAATCCCGATCCCACCCGCAGTCAGGCGGACTGGACAGTCTGGGACGGACGGTGGAAGCGATTTTTAAATAAAATAATATTTTGTTTTTATACAAAAAATGTTTTAAAAAATTGCTGAAGCGATTTAAAAATGATTATTATTTTTTTACACGTAAAATGTTTTTTAAAATTGCTTCCACCGTTCGTCGCAGACCCGTCTCTGCCCGCCTGTCTGCGCGGGTCGGACCTTCATGATTACGCACGGCTGGGGTCTTGGAACAGCCTCTGGAGTCACCAGCTGAGCTGGAGCTGGGAGGATGAGCCTCCCAGCCTCCTCCTCTCCGGAGGAGAGGATCAGTGAGACCAGCAGAGCGTTGAAGATTTAAAAAATAAAAATAAAATAAACGGTGCCAGCTTCATCGTGAAATCCTGTTTTCACTTTAATGACTGTTAACTCAGCTGAAAATCATAAAAAGACACAAAACTATTGGATCTCAGGAATATTTCCCTTAAACATGTTTAAAGAAAAGAGACGACCTTCAGTTCAACTTTATTTTAACTCACGAATGTACAAATCACAAAACAAGAACTTTAAAGCAAAGCTAAAAATAAAATGTAAATATGTGAACAAGAAAGAAAACCACACATCTAAAATGAACATTAAAAGTAGACACAATGAGTTCAAATACATCAAATGATGATGAAAACCTATAAAAATTTAAATTTAAATCTATAATATATATATAGATAAATATATATGTATATATATAAATACATATATATGTATATAAATATATATGAATATATATAAATACATATATATGTATATAAATATATATATGAATATATATAAATACATATATATGTATATAAATATATATGAATATATATAAATACATATATATGTATATAAATACATAAGAATATATATAAATACATATATATGTATATAAATACATAAGAATATATATAAATACATATATATGTATATAAATACATATGAATATATATAAATACATAT